CAAAACCCTAAACCCTAAAGCCCAGGTGCTCGGCATCTTCAAGGTCTTCCTTAAGACCTTCGGCCTCTTGGGCTTCGGATTCAGGCATTTTTTAGCCCAGGAGTCGAATCCACCGGTGCGTCTACTGTAGGGGCCTTCATAAGTACCTATACTATTTTGGGGGGCTCCTTGTTATAATTCTAATCAAATGTACCCTAAAACCCTATTCTAATTATCAAAGCCCTATATTACACACACGCCCACATGCTTGATATGCGTGCATTGCACTAACTTGTCCATCAACCCAAAGTTATCGTGCGATTTTGACAAGCCGCAAGTCTTGCGTAGTGTAGCTATCACCAGCAACAGTAGTACTGTATGGCGTGCAAGTGATATCACTGCAACGGAAAACGTAGCAATAGATGTACTTTGATGTAGCCTTAGCATAGCAGCTAGCATAGCCATACATGGCCGCTGTAAAGGAAACCGTCATCGCAATGGCAGCACGGGTAATAGTAGCAAGAATACAGAAGACAAGTGTCTCTTGCCATGCATTGATGAGGCCTCCCCTTGGGGAGGTTGGGGATACTTTCCTCCGACCGTAGCTTTTCACATAGCTGCGAATTCCTCCAGAGGCCTGAGATCTGCCAGCCTGGCACCCCTGACGTCTTTCAACCTTTTGCCAAGGGGTGGACTGAACCCTAAGCCCTATTTGTAAGCTTTTTTTTGCACCTTTACGCCTGAAAGCTTGGGGCGCCCAGCATCCCTCGAGGTTTTGAGGAGCCTATCGAAGATACCTGCTTTCAGAAGAACCTTCTCACCTGCAAGACTCTCGGCGCAAGACATCCTCAGCTCAGACTTGTTTATGTCGTTGCTTTTCGGGCACTTAGCATTTGTGCAGCTTGCTCATGCTGCGTGTCGGCCGATCAATGACCATCATGACTTATGTTTGCAAGAAGGCTCGGGACCAAAGTTTCCAACCTTGCCGCTCCTATCCCAGATTTCCCAAGACCGTTCTCACATGGTCACGCCGTGCAAAGGATTATCCGCGACTCCGTCTTTCACACGGCCATCTTCGTGTGCCTGGGCCCGACGCATTCGGGGGTTTCTAGTTTCTTATGTCGGGCTCCTTAAGGAGGCCACCTTTCAATGTACCTCTAGGCCCAAACCCTGAAGCCGGAACGGTACAGAGTTGCAAACAGCCCTTGAAGCCCCGGCCAAGCCCCTAAACTCCAGGCCGAACGCCTGCAGCACCAAATCCTGTAGAGAGCTAAACCCTGACCCTTCAACCCTAAACCCTGACCTGAAGCCCCAAAATCCCAAACCTTAAAGGCCAAAACACCAAAGCCATCGCTCTCAGGATCATCGGAGCCTTGCTGGCATCGGCCTCTCGACGCCTCAGCTACGACTTTGCGTCCATCTTCGGCTGGTAGTAGGGTCTACTACAGGGGCCCAAAGAATCAGGATAGGGCGTAATGCAGTCTATTCAGCATAATTGCAGCTCTGCTAGCTTTCTTGCTCTTGTTTCTTTGCACTCCTTTTCGCTGGATTCTAAGCCGTTGCTTAGTGCGAACCGAACTCGTCCATGCAGCCCGACGAACCTGTTGCTTGTCACCCTCCCTGCCTTGCCCTGTTCCTGTAGGTGGAGTCTTCAGTTCGCCAGACGTCCGCTCTGGTCGCTCGAATGCCGTCGTGTCTCGCGGTTTGTCGCTTCTCCAGGTTTTCTCATTTCAGATGCTGCTGGACTCTGCCATCAAGCACGAGCGCGCGCGATGTGCGAGAGTTTGGGAGGAGGAGGGCCTCGACAAGAAGAGCCGCTTGGTGCAACCCAGAGCTGACTTTACCAATCACGAGGCCGACTTCCCCCGTTCTAACGGGAGTCCGGTATAAAAAAAAGCGGCTCCCTGTCCGGACGGTTCTGCTAAGCTGTTTCATTGTTGTCGTATGTTGCTGCATATGATGACGAGTTGTTCTGCTAGATATCATGACGAGTACGTCACACTTGAGAGTGTTGTGCAGTAAGTCGCAGCATCGCATGAAGGTGTAATATTGCATGTCACTTTTGTCTTTCGGTTGGTGCTGCATGGTCTGTTTCAACTTATGATGCAGGTTTGCAGATTTGGAGGCTTGCAACTGCATACAGTAGACGCGAAGTTCATGGTGTCGTAAACTCTTAGACATCCAGTGAGACTAAACTTATATCGAGCTTTATCAGCATGTAGCAGTTTATACTTTCACACCAAAGGTACACATAGGTGCTATATATGAGTGTATTCTGCATACACGTCTGCGCAGATACTGTACGCATGTGTGTGTGTGTGTGTGTGTCTGTCTGTCTGTCTGCCTGGCTGTCTGTCTGTCTGCCTGTCTGTCTGTATGTCTGTGTGTCTGTATGTCTGTACGTATGTATGTATGTATGTATGTATGTACGTAGGTGTAGGTAGGCAGGTAGGTAGGCAGCCAGGCAGGTAGGTCGGTAGGTGTGTATACCTGCACGCCTGCGCAGGTATTCATGCTTATGCTTATACGCAAACACTGATCTCACTGCATGTCGCCAGATATTCGCAGATGAAAGGACAAATGGTACCGCAGTGCGGCAGCATTTTTGTCCGGGCTTAACGGTTAACGGTTGAATGCTCCCTCCCGAGCAAACCCATCCTCCAGAATGCCCAGCAAACCAAACAGACGGCAACCGCAACAGCAAACACATCGTTCAAGGGCCACCGACATCCAGCTAAGGTGGATGATGCAGAGAATGCGTGCTAGTTTCTTAGTGATGTGTGTGCTTGCGCTACGCCGCAATGCGAGATTCTGAGAATAGGCTCGCTGATGCGAGCAGCTGGAGAACCCGGATGCGTTTGCAAAATAGTTGTTTGCGGGAGGTCAGTCCTGTTCGCAGCAGCAGTGTGTCAAAACAATGTTAATAGTACCATAGTATGAACACTATAGCGACAACTATAATACCCACACACACACACACACACACACTTCTGCGTCTATATGCATATATATATATATATGTATGTATAGATATATAAATACATAAAGGAAAGCTATCTATCTATCTATCTATCTATCTATCTATCTATTCATTTAGCTATATATCTATATTCAGATAGATGGCAGCAGCAGCAGCAGTCCTGCAAGATTTTTTGCTACGAGTTCTCGTATGCTGATGCTTCTCATTGTGAAGGGGCGGGAGACAGTCGCCAATGATGGTCCGAGGTCATGTTTTCGTGGCCGTCGTCCCTCTGACCTAAATCCACTACACCAGAGCCTATGCTACAGAAGCCACAGTGCTCCGAAGCAAATGCAATACTCACGTTGGGACCTCCAAACGAAGGCTTTTCACACCAGGCTCCTCAACCAACCCGAGCTCCAAGTCTCCGTCACGAAGTTCGGATGCTGTGACTCGCCGCTGGCTCACATCACTTGGAATGTAGCTGTAAGCAGCAAGGAGGACGATTTGCACAGTAGGCTGGCGACTCCCGGCCTTCGTGATTCCATTGAGAGAGAGAGAACATCCAGGTCGTGGGCCGGGGGGAAGGTGTCAGTACAAGATATCTACGCCGTAAGCCCATGCCCCTCCTTACTTAGGAACCCTTACAAGCCCTAACCCCTTAGGCCCGAAAAGCCGAAGCCTTGCATTTCTGGAGCCCAAAGAAGTTCAACCGTCCCCGCTCAAGAAAATTCCTGCGTGGATGGCGAAGACCGGGCTCGTGAACCCGGGCCGGACTCCCAGTTATCGATGGAGGAGGACAAGGATCTTTAACTTCAGTCTGAGAATGTACACCTACTCTGACGCCGGTGATTTTCGATCAAGAAGAAGACGATGGATACTGTTGTCTTAAACAGTTCCGTGCCTATAAGCACGAGTACATCATGGTGGGTGTGTCGGGCACTTTCTGGGCTTCTCAGAAGATCATAGACTCGCAGACATTGTGGTCCAATGCTTTACGCTCCGGCTCCTCCGGAAAAGCACAGCCTCTCCGCGCAGGCTGTTGCATCTAGAAGAGTTTTGTTTTAGTATTGGCATCGTGTGGTGCTCTCGCTCCGCTGCAATGTTGTGGCAGAAGCGCAGGTAGCGCTGGCTCTTTGTGGAGTTGACTGTTCTTTTGTTCGGCTTGTGTCTCTTGGGCCCTACTTCGACTTCTTGTTGCTGTACGCTGTTTCGTCAGGAGGTCCCAAGTGCTGATTCTCCGAGTCTCCGTTTTGGTTTCTCGGGAGGCTTTCCCTTAAGAAACGTGGGGCAGTGTACCACAAAGCTTGCAGGTTCGACAGCATGCACGTCAGTTTCTACGTCAGACTTCATCTCACATCACCGGGTACTTCTACGACTACGACGTGATGCAACATAAGGAAATACGTTAGAGTTAGAGCAGGATGCAAGAAAGTCCCAAAGCCAAAAAGCCCCAAACCCGAAACTCCAACCGCTGAAGCGGTACCCCACACCCCAGAACCCCAGAGCCCTAAACAAGTCATATCACGTTATATTGTGCGATATCACATTCTATCATCTTATATGACCTGATATTATATTATATTCTAATATCTTGTATTTTATGATCATATATTTTTTGGTTTCTTCGATCTCCGGCGACCTGGTGCTGTCCAGCTTGGGCTTGGACTCGGGGTTTCTCGAGTTCAGATCCACTCGTCTGAGGGTTTCCGGGTCAGGTTGTGCTTCCGTAGCCCTGAAACCACCCTAAACCCTGTACCCTGAACCCTGAACCCTAAGCCCTGAACCCTAAACCCTGAAACCTGAACCCTAAACCCTAAACCCTAAACCCTGTATAGACCCCGCAAAAGCCAAGCCCAAGGGAGCCGACCGAAAGAGGAGCCGGGTCCTCCTAAAAAGCTCTGGACCTCGTTGGACCCCAACTTTTGGTTTCATAAACAGATACAGGGTTCAGGGGTTTAGGGGTTTAGGGGTCTCGGGGTTTGGGGGTTTAGGGGTTTAGGGTTTAGGGGTTTAGGGTTTAGGGTTTAGGATGTTATAGGGGTTTCGGGTTTAGGGGTTTAGGGGCGTTCTTGGGCTTTGGGGGTTTACGGTTTAGGGCTTAGCGGGTGTCTAAGCCCTAAGCCCTAAAAGGCCCTAGGCCCGAAGCCCTAACTTCCCAATCACTTGGGGGTTTAGGGTTTAGGGTTTAGGGTTTAGGGTTTAGGGTTTAGGGTTTAGGGTTTAGACACCTGAACGCGAAAGGTTAAATTCCCACTTGCCCAAGCAAAAGCCAGTAAAACTTATCCTCTTCTTAAACCCTAAACCCAAAACCTTAAAAACGCTTAACCCCAAACCTTCAAAACCCTAAACCCTAAGCCCGTAGACGCTGAACGCCTAAACCCTTAACCCTAAACCCTAAACCCTAAACCCTAAACCCTAAACCCTAAACCCTAAACCCTAAACCCTAAACCTTAAACCCTATATCACCATCGGAGTTCAAGGCCCTCCTCGCATCACCAAAGCGCTGATCTCGTCGGCGAGCCGGCCGACGACCCTGGACTCCAGGTTGGACTGCAGGTTGCGGTTGGGGTTTAGGGGTTTAGGGTTTAGGGTTTAGGGGTTTAGGGTTTAGGGTTTAGGGTTTAGGGTTTAGGGTGTTAAGGGTCTGGGGTTTAGGGTCTTAAGGGTTTAGGGTTTAGGGTTTTAAGGGTTTAGATGGGGTCTAGGGTTTGGGGTTTAGTCGAGTTTGGGGGGTGGGGTTTAGGGTTCCTCAACTTAGGGGTTCTGCAGGATTTTAGGCAGGGTTTCCCAAGCCGGATCTTACTTGGGCAGGGTACCCGGATTCCGCTTGGAGGGACCGTGTGATGGCCCTTCTTAGGACTCAGGGATCATGAGGGTTCCTTAAGTCCAGGGCTTCGAGACATTTTGGGGTTTAGGAGGAGTCGGGGGGCTTCGAGGATTTGACGCTTGAGTAAGTACAGCTAGTATTCCTCAAAGGGTTCCTTGTTATGCCTCCTTATGGTTATAGCATAACATACCCCAAATCCCAGTTACTGTCATCTTTAAGGGCTCTTTGCAACCCAATAACTGAATTCTCGGAGTTATCATTGTAGCATACCCAAAATCCAATCCCTAAACCCTAAACCCTAAACCCTAAACCCTAAACCCAATTCGAAGTATGGAGGCCCCGACATCCGAATTCTTTGCGCTTGAGGGCTGGTCGAGGAGAGTTCTTTCGGTTTCGGGCTTCGAGGGTTTGGGTTTGGGGATTTCGGGATGGAGAGCTTCGGGCTGCTGTTCAGGGGTTTAGGGTTTAGGGGTTTGTGGGATTTGGGGGTTTTAGGACTTAGGGGTTTGGGATTTAGAGGTTTAGGATTTAGGGGTTGAGGGTTAAACCCTAAACCCTCAACCCTGAAACCTGAAGGTTGGTAAAGGACCCTTTCTCGGGCTTGAGGGCTTCTTTAGTTTGTCACACGACTGAACGAGCTCCTTACGCAGTCCCTCAACACTCCAAAAAAGTAAAAGATAGACCCTTATAGCTTCTGCGAAAAGGCAGTAGCAAGTCACTGGAAGAACAAACGGGCTACCAGCAGCAGCAAGACCAGCGGCAGTGCAGCACGTTAACCACGATGTCCACGGGGTGTACAGCAGACACTGTGCACTGAATGCAGAAAAAGCGAATAGCAGGAAAGGGCAAGCAGCGAGCTACGTCCGAAGGAACTCGACAAGGAGCAAATTGGGCGATCGCCGCAGTCAACAGTGAGCATAGTGCCGGGTTGCAGAATGCACAGCCCACGAAAAGGAAGCGACTGTTACGCAACGAAGCGAAAGCAGCAGATCTCGCAATCCTGGCGAGTATGACGAGACCCACAACGACATGCAGGAGCTCCCTCGGCGACGACCGTAGTCCCTTCAGGAGGAGAGGCGCAGGCGTCGCGAGGAGCAGGAA